TTTTTTTTGCCTTGTGTTCTTTTTCCACCTGCTTTCAAGGATGAACCTTTTCAGAATTACTCTCATCTGTTTTCGCTTCTTTTCTCTTCCCTGTTTCTTCCCATCATTCCAGTGTTTGGTTGGATAGAAAGTTCACGTTGGAAGCTTTAGATTCATACCTTGTTGCTAACTCTCGGATTGTTTTTTGTTAAGGTTTCATGATGCCCTACCCTTTTCCCCATTTTTATTCTTTAATGTCCTGTCCTTTTTATTGATGTGTTCTTTGGGGAGCTTTCAGTATTCTAAAGGACTAGACTACCTCATCTTTCTCTGTCCTAGACAGTCTTTTGCATATCCTTTTTCTTAAAAATGGGTAAAATTATTTATTTTTCTCTTCTTAGTGGGTATCCAAGTGTTTCTACTTGATTTTTGCTTTTAAAAAGTTGGAATTCCTTTGTCCCTTCTATCTTATATTGGACACTTGAAAATAAGGGTAAAGCTGAAGCCAGCAAATCTGTTTCTATGGATTTTTTCTTATTGTAACTAAATTCATTTATGTCATGGGATTCTTTTTTATCCTAATGTTTATCCTTCCATCTTATGTATTTTCTATCATATTATTCTTATTCAAGTTACTTTACAAAAGGCTAGAATTGCATGGTGACTTTGTGACATCTGAGAGATTCTTTCATTGAGAAATAAACAGTGTTTCTGCAACTTGGATACCTTTTATTAGAGTCTCATTATTGTTGCAAGTTGCATTTCCCCCAATTGTAAAAGCTGATCCAAACGTTCTGATGCATTCATTTACTTTAAAAGTAGCTTGAGAAATTGATAATTTTTTGCCCCTCAAATATTTTGTTAATTTCCTCAGGTGCATGAAGCAGGTAAGTTAGTAGAAGCAGTAGCTTTTACCTGGAAAGTACATTGTCCTGCCAGTGGGACAAGGAAAATTAGTGGGGTTTGATCTTCTTCGTATCCATCCATTGTGATCTTAGGCTTTGTTTGTTCTCTTTTCCGTGAATGAGAAATCGGAGAAAAATTGTTCCTTTTGGCAATATTTGGTAGCAATAACTGTTCTGCCTCATTGTGCTTGGCCATGACCATTATCCATCATGTTTACGGGGGCCTACTTACCGACTCAAACTTGAATGTGGGATGCTCTATTTTGGGGCAGCCAGTTGGTGTCAAAAGGATGCAGATTTTTTGCCTCTTTATCTTTCTCAAGCTTGTCCTTTTGAGATGCTTGTCCTTTTAAGATGCTTGTCATTCATAATCATACGTGATTCTTTTGATCTTTTCCCCTCTGATGGGAAAATTGATCTTGTTTTCTAATTAAGCAAGTTTAGTTAACATTTGAAGTAATTTTTACTTTTTATCCCAAAAGTTGGAGCAAATATGATTTTAATGGCCTGTGTGTGAAAAATAATATTGATATTATCACATTTTATAACCTGTTATGCAGGAGCACAAGGGAAAGTACACCATGTAGCTTGATAAGGAACTCGGACACCATTGCAACCCCTGGTTCCACCACAAGGAGGTCAAGCTCCAGCACTGCTTACCGAGGAGGGGGGAATGATGTGCGAAGATTTATCCCAACAGCAAATGAAATGGAGGAGTTTTTTGCCTATGCAGAGCAACAACAACAGAGACAATTCATTGAGAAGTAAGCAACTTTTTTTTTTTTTTTTCTTTCTTGTATACATTGTTTTGTCGTTTTTGCGGGTTCTTTGAACTTCATTGTGGCTTTGTCTACAGTTTTAGACCCAAATTTCCTGAAAGTATTTTTCTAAAAAATATGCTGGCTTTTGCAGGTATAACTTTGACATTGTGAACGATTTACCTCTCCCAGGATGCTATGAGTGGGTACAAGTGATTCCATAACCAGAAGCTGATTAGTTTTCCAAGATCTTGTAAAGATGTATTGAGCCATCCAAGATGTGTAATTTCAAGATCTGTAGCATGACAGAGCTGACGAATTACACTAACAAACCATACACCCAAAATCCTTTGTTCAAATGCAAAGGAAATAATGTTAGAAATTTAGATGTTTATTCATAAGGTAACTGACTAGGAGTAGCCATCGTTTCCTAATATGATCTTTATTAACTCATTATTCTAAGGATAATATCAACTACTTGACGTCCGTCTGCTGCATCCATTATGGTTAATCTGCACCCTATTCAATCTTTTTAAATGATTTTCTTTCCATACTTGCTGGCGTGGCATTATATAAACTTGTATTATTACTTTTGCTGCTGATGGGATAATCTGATCCTTACTAGGGTTATCTAGACTATCTCGGCATCAGATGGTATTTTGGTATGTTCTCACTTTGCATATATCAATTTAAGTTCATGAGATAAATAATGTCATTTTAAGTTTGCTCGCATCAAATTTAGCTCACCTCTACATAGAAATTAGGGAGACAAACATGTCTCATTCCGAAATCAGAAGGGAGTATTTTATTGCAGAAGTGTCTGGTTGAGGTTGTTAATCCAATCTGTGGGAATTGTCCGGCAACCATGTGCTAAATACAGGGGTGGTGGTCCTGGTGGGCTCTGCATTCAATTCAAAGAAAACAGTTAGTAGATTGTTCTGTAGAGTAGAAGTGAATCTTACTTCAGGGCATGGGGTTCCCAGAGGCTGACACTAGTAGTATTGTTAGTGGTTCTGTGTTCAACTCTTTTTCCCTCTGAAATTTGTGGTGATAAATTGTTAAAGGGCCAATAAGGCTGCAACAGTTTGTGAAGTAGGGCATGATTAAATGAATGCAATGGACCCTCTTCACATGGGATATTGTACTATTCCTACAGGAACAGAGCCTCTTCTGTAATTACAAGCTGCAATTAGTTAACCTCAGATCTGATGATGTCTTCTAGTTTTTGCCCAAGAATAAAGCTTTTGTCAATCGTTACACAGCAGGTTGTCAGGACTTTTTCTGCTTCAATTGTGTATAAATCCAGGGTTTATTCTAATACCTGGTAATTTAATTCAACATGTTTTCAGTTTTGGAGTTCATCGGCTTCCATGAATTCACATTGAAAAGGAATAAATGCTACAACTACTAGAAATTTACAGCTGAATATGTCGTACTTCACATTTGTAATAATTCTACATGCTATAATCTCCAGCTGACGTCCAGTTGCCATCACATGTAGGTTCAAATCTATTCAAGATAACAGCAATGATCTCATTAAGCGTACATACACAAATATGTGATGATATCGTCAATGAACTAATAACGCCTGCTCCTTAGGAAGGAATATCTGTGGTTTCATGGCGTTGAAGGTGCTAAATTTGCTGATTCCTGTCTTTCTGCCATTTCAACTTCGTATGGACTGGCATCCGGTCCTTTCCCATTCTCCATAGCCAACTTTAAGTTCTTAAGCTTAGCTTGTTGTATGGCATGCAGCTCATATCTGAACAAACGAGATACAAGAAGTCAGCATTTTTTGCTGGAAAGGTGAATTGTGAATAACAAGAGTAAAAATCATAATATAGCAATAGGCAAAGAACAAGTAGAACATAATCATGTGGGTTTTGTGAGAATAAATGAGAAGGAAAGAAAACCCAACCATGGTTATGAGTTTTATAGAACTAGTTCACAAAAGTCACCCAACATGGTAAACTCGACAAAAACTGAAAGGAGAATTGCTTCACTCAATAGGTTCTCACGGTGAATTCTGTAAAGGCATGTACAACCTTTCCTTGTGTCTTATTCAAATTGATGTGGTTTAAAGCGTTGACAGGAAGGACCACTATTGAATATATAACAGTTGCCATCATTGATGGCGAGAGGCTATGGCACCTGATAGTGACGGCTACTTTTCCTGTAAAGAAGTTTTGGCTCCTTGAGAAGTTGGTCTTAATCGGAGATTGGTGTTAACTCTGGATCTCATATTGGTCAGCCAACAATAGATCATTAAAGGTGAAGAAGTTTAGCTGTGAATCGATGGAGAAGTGGTCATGAAAAATTTTGATGATTTAATGGACCCTCAGGATCTTTGGGAAGCGGCAAATACATGTGTACCATTTGCTTCATGGCATGTAGTCCTAACAGAAAGAAAACTGGATGATCTATATATATGCTAGCTTCCACTGATTCAGAATACATAGCAAACCAACATATCCAACAGTTGCCAATGAGGCAATGGTCCAATGGTTAAGGATAATACTGAGGTCTTGGGAAGTCCCAGGTTCAAATCCCTCCACCCACAAGTACAAAAAGAAGAAGAAGAAGAAGAAGAAGAAGAAGAAGAAGAAAGAATCTCCAACAGTTCATGTAGGCTATATCAAATCAATACAAAACCAGAAGACCGCCTCCAAGTATGAGGAAGAAGAAGAAGACAGCTGCTTCATAATAAATGCAGATGACCATAAGAAAATCACCTTCAGAAAACCATATCTCTCTCATTTGGATGACCAAAAAACCAAAAATCAATACAGACACACAACTGCTGCATAATAAATTCCTATTATTATCATATGAAAATAGTAATAATTGAAATAGACAAAACTTACTCAGCCACATGGCTCTTAACAAGGGCGAAGTATATCCTCCAAAATTGTCCCTCCTTCATATGGCGAGGGCAAAGGGTAAATCTAAGCTGTGCAAGTTCCTGTAAACAAAGAAAACATACCATTCAAGCACACATAATGAGAAGTTGAATCAAAGAAGCCACCATTTGCACAAGTAGAGGCACTATGTATGGGCACTGTACATGACCAAGAATGTACCAAAAAGATAAAAAACATATATATATTCCATCAGGTACAGCATCAGGTTCAGAAAGTGATAAAGAAAGGAACAAGAAAAGAAATAATGGTTCCAATAAAAAAAAAAAAGATTAGAAAAAGAACTAACATGCATGCTAAGAGGTTCATCCAACATCATGCCAAATTTATCCAATTGTTGATATTAAGAGCCCTTCTAATTGCTATTTTAAAATGGCAGCTGATTTGATGAAAGAGTACCCTCCAAATTGCAAGACTACCATATTAGCTTCTTATCACATCCTCCTTCCTTGACCCTGCAACCATATTACATTCCAAATTTCCAACGAGCAATGAATCTTCCAGAATAGGGCATATACAACTTACTCCCTGGCATCCATAGCCTCAGTTTTTCCTTATTCTCTTAAATGTAAGGCTTTAGCTATTCATTACTCCCTATACCACAGACTCTGGCAGATGACGGAGTCTACATTAGCCATGTTTTACACAGCATTCTCTTTGCAGTTTTACGCAGTGCAACCCCAGATTCCCCAAACGTCTAATTCATTCTTCTACAGTATCAAATGCCCAAACAACAGTGACTCCAACCATATACATTGTTGGTACGACTTAATCACTTAGTTAAGACATAATTATTACCATTTCCTAACAGAAACTCACTCCAAGTTCATAAAAATTCCACCTTTCAATTCTCACCAACATACATCCTACAAAGGTTTCAGCTGAAATCATGTAATTAAATGCAAGAACGTGTTACTGCCCAAAATTTTCATCCACAACAAAAACGCTATTAATCCCATTCCCCTATGAAGATCAAATTACCAACCTTTACTTTTGAAAGCACGAAAACGGCATGCCGCTCTTGCCAATCAGAAAGATCCTTTCGCACATTGGTCGAAGAAGTTTTCTGGGTCTCATCCCCATTTGCAGCCCCTTCATCATCTGAACCAAATTCAATCAGATTCCTAAGCATTCTTCTTCGGTGATTGTTTACAGAACCAACAGAACAAAGAAAACAGAGAAAAACAAACCTTGGAGAGGGAAACTCTTGAAAGTGTCTAAAGTGAAAGACTTGATATAATCGATCAACTGGTCTGTAACTCCAAGCAACTGTTCTTCTTGTTCTTGTCTCTGGTTTGATTGGTGGGTTTCCTCTGAGTTCTTGCTCCTCGAGCGATCACGGCGAAACCATGAAGAAAGATTCATGCTTGGGGCTGGGCGATTTAGAGATGAAGAGCTTCGACGATGGCTCTTGAGATGGGGCTGCGGCCATTTGTGGGCGCTGTAGCGTCTTCAATTTTAAGCAGGAAAATTAGATGCATTTATAGAATTTTAATTAAAATTTCAACCATGTTTTATGATTTATCACTTTCGGCAAATTTAGGTGAATTTAATTTAATTACAAAGAATATAAAAAATACTTTAATTACAAAATAATAAAAATGAATGGCATTTCATGTTGTTAAAAATAGGTAATGAAAAGGAAAAAATTTCAAAACAAAAAGATCTTTTTTTGTTAATTGGTATAGAAAATTCTTTTTGTTAAGGAATTTTTGTTGTTTTTTTGCTTGATTTCTCACAATTATTATAATTAATTACTTTTAATTGGTGGATATGTAATTTAGCATGAATTGATAATTGAAAAACTTTTAATCATATAAAAGTATGTGTAACAAATAATATATTTAATTTAGTAATAAAAACTAAATTTTATGAATTTAAAATTATGGATTTAACTCTGCATATAACAAGATATTTACTAGTTAAGATATTTGAAGTAATGTGTGTTATTATCCCTTAGGTATATGGATTGTATTGTTCTTGTAACCTCCTAAAAAAAAATAATAATAACAAAAAAATAAAAATAAAAATAAAAGCACTTTAAGATTTGATTTTAGGCCGAAGATTCTTCATATACATTGAGGATGCTTTCCTCTTTTCTTTTATGCTATAAAAAATTAAAAATAGAAAATTGTAAAATAGGAGTACTAAATAAGACTTCTTTTTTTTTTTTCTTTTGAGAAAAGTATTAAATAAGACTTTAATTTCATGTTAACCTGTTTGGGGTGAGGAGCAGGGGAGCTTTCGGAATTTGAAGTTTGAACCTTTAATTGATAGGAAATGATTTTATGGGGCTAAACTGCAAAACTGTTCTAATTCAGTGATTTTTTTTTTTTTTTTTCACTTTGAAAATTTGTGGCGTTCGGCCCAGTGGCAGTTTGCAAAAACATGATACATTGGACCGGACTGGACTGGACTGAGCAACGTGATCAGTTTCTCTTTATGTCATTAATATATTGGACCAGAACCAAGCCTTGTATGTGTGAGAGAGAAAGAGAGTGAGTAGATTTGCTCGATGTTTTGAAAACGGATTGAACTGGTCAGTCGGATCAGTTGAACCGATATTTGATTGTATAAATGGTTTGGTTATATTTTTTAAATCGTTTAAATTATAAACCATTTAAAATGAATAAGAACCATTCAAATTACTTAAACTGATAAACCATTCGACCAAATGGTTCAATTTTTGAGCATAAAATCTTCAAAATTTTGTTTCTTGCGAGATGTGAACTCACAACCTCAATCTTAATTCCGACTCTTTACCACTAGAACGATGCAATCCTTATGTCATTGAGTGCTTGGAATTTTATTTATCTAATAGAATTCTAAAAGCTTTTAATTGAATTATTGATGATAGCCATGATTTGAACAACCATTCTCCATGATATGAAACAAAAACTCTACCACTTGAGACACAACATTTTATTTGCTATTTCTTTGCTTCACAATATATTTATTCTATTTATAAAATCACAATTATATTGAAGTTTGTTCTCAAAAAGGCTCAAACCTGTGATCTTTTAAATGTTAAATCAACCACTTACCACTACATCCAACAAACACTTTGTAAAATATTTTGCAGAATAATACATTTATAATAATTTAATCAACCCGATGGCTTTACCAATTAAACTGATTAAACCAATTAAACTGTGAATCAAAAATAAAAATGGTTTGACCTCCAACTTGAGTTTAAAAACATTGGATTTGCACGTCTACGGTGCAAATATATGTACGTACGAATTATTGAATAGGAGGTAATTCTACTATTAAGAGTTTTATTTTAAAGTATATAATACATTTTAAATAAAATTATATAAAAAATTATATATATAAATGATCTATTATTGCTCTCAAAAAAATTTTTTTTTTGATCACTAGCAATTTTAAGAGGAAAGGAGAAGGGAATGGACTCAGTTCATTGATTAAAAGAAGCACTTATAGCTATTCAAGTAGTTGGTATAACTCAAACTTTCAACTAATTTTATCTAAGTACTAAGATTTGGATGCAAATAATTAAATCTAAAGGTTTGAATTGCTCTCAATCTTATTATCTAAAGGAAAACAGATATTTACACTTTTCCAATTACTTCAAATTATAGACTTATTTTTTAGATAAAATACAACGATTCCCTTAAAAAAAAAAAAATACTTGCATGGTTGAAGGTGACATATATACACATATAATGATAAAGGTAGAAAGCACACAAAAGTTTTCATTGTATGATTTCGCCTATTCATGGTACGCATGCGGGATGTCCATGTCCATGTCCATTAATTGGACCATATATCCCATGCCAGACATTATAGTTTGAAGACATTAATTTGGCTTGACCAAGAAAATAAATTTTGTTCCCATCTACGCCAACATCAAAAAGCTAGGTATGGTGGCAGTGGTGGAAAAATATCATATCAAATTATATCAAATTATATCAATCAACCTAATTATTGGTGGTGGTGTAGGATTCACTTTCATGGGCCCCTTCCTTGCTGCTGCCAATCATACATAATAATAACCATTATCAACAACCAAAGAAAGTGGCCACTCACCAATATTACCACCGCCTCCTCTTTTCCAAGTTTTGAGCCATTTTATTTCCCTTCTCCGGTCTTAATCAAATTGATA